CTCTCTCTCTCTCTCTTCTCTCTCTCTCTCTCGTCTGTCCACTCTCTGTCTCTCTCTGTCTCTCTCTGTCTCTCTCTGTCTCTCTCTGCTCTCTGTCTTCTCCTCTTCTCTCTCTCTCTCTCTCTCTCTCTCTGTCTCTCTCTCTCTCTCTCTCTCTCTCTCTCTCTCTCTCTCTCTCTCTCTCTCTCTCTCTTCTCTCTTTTCTCTTGGCAAAATAATAATCTATTTTTCTACCAGTACATGATACAACTTATACAGACCATAGCTCACACCAATGACATACTATTATGTACAAAGACCCTTGTTATGCTGAGCGTTTCCCCACAAATTAGGTCAATTTTTCTCCCCAGGATGCGACTCACACCAGTCCAATAACACCCGGGTACCTATTTCACTGTTAGATGAACATGGACAGTAGGTGTCTTAAGGAAACACGTCCTAATATTAACATCCGTACCGAAGATCGACCCCCGGACCTCAGTGTGTGAGCTGAGTGCGCTACTGATCGCTATTCTCTCCTTTCATGGTCAAGTACTGTATGGTTCCTACGGGTTTAGAGCCTCCCTGTGAACATTAATGGTAGTGAAGGGCTCTTGATCCAAGAAATTGAACTTATCCTTTACTCCCAAGGATCTAACCTGATTACCTCCCATTTCACCAGGCTGTATGTGACCCCTTCGAATCTAGCGCTCTCAAAGGCTGTTCGCGAGCATCAAGGTGTGCCGTGGCCTGGTAGGCAACGCTCTGTCCTCACAAACCTGAGTGTCTGTGGTTTGATCCACGGCCGGGTGAAGACACTGGTCGTGTTCCCTTACACCTGCTGTCATTGTTCACCTAGCAGTAATTAGGTACCTGGGTGTTACTTTACACCTGCTGCCACTGTTCACCTAGCATTAAGTAGGTACCTGGGTATTAGGTGACTGGTGTGGGTGGCATCCTGGGGGACAAGATTGAAGGACCCCAATGGAAATAAGACAGTCCTTGATGACGCACTATCTCGGGTTATCCTGGGTGGCTAACACTCCCTATCCTAGGTTATCCTGGATGGCTAACACTCCCTATCCCAGGTTATCCTGGGTGGCTAACACTCCCTATCCCAGGTTATCCTGGGTGGCTAACACTCCCTATCCGAGGTTATCCTGGGTGGCTAACACTCCCTATCCCAGGTTATCCTGGGTGGCTAACACTCCCTATCCCAGATTATCCTGGGTGGCTAACACTCCCTATCCCAAGTTATCCTGGGTGGCTAACACTCCCTATCCCAGGTTATCCTGGGTGGCTAACACTCCCTATCCCAGGTTATCCTGGGTGGCTAACACTCCCTATCCCAGGTTATCCTGGGTGGCTAACTATATCCTTCCAGGAAGACTTGGATAAAGTGACCAAGTATGGATGGATATAGTATAAGCTGGATAAATACCATGTCAAGGAAAGGATATCCGAGATAAACAAAATTCTCATATATATAGCTAATGCTTTAAATCAATAGACCCTTGAGGGTTTAGCGCTTATGATTATAATAATTTAAAGCAATAAAGACAGTAAAGTGACCTGAGAATCGATCATTAACGCATTCAGCTCACACACTGAGGTCCGGGGGTCGATCCCCGGTACGGCTGGAAATTTTAGGACGTGTTTCCTTAAGACACCTGCTGTCCATGTTCACCTAGCAGTAAAATAGGTACCTGGGTGTTAGTGGACTCGTGTGGGTCGCATCCTGGGATAAAACTGACCTAATTTTCGGGAAATGCTCAGCATAACCAGGGACTTTGTGTATAGTAGTATGTGATTGGTGTGAGCTATGGTCTGTATAAGTTGTATCATATACTGGTAGAAATATATTATTATTATTATTTTATTATTATTATTATTATTATTATTATTATTATTATTATTATTATTATTATTATTATTATTACATGCAAGGGATTTTTGGGAAGCAGTTATGTAACAAACTAACGTTGAAATATACGAATGGGGGAATGCGTAGGTGGCTCGGTTGGTAGTTGCCTCGAGCCACACTGAGGGACCTGGGATCGATCCCTGGCACGAGTAAAAACGATATGATGTTCCTCTACACTTGCTGACCCTGTTCACTTAACGTTAAGTAGGTACCTTGCTGCGGGTCATCACAAAACCCGCGTCAGCAAACACTTGTCCTGTTTCCTGACAAACCTTACCTAACCCCTAACCTAGGCACCTGGGTGTTAGGAGACTGGTGAAATTAGACACAATATTTGATTATCCTTGGGTTACTAACCCACCGGTTAGTAACCCAAGACACATCTGCAACTTCTAGGTTTCAGCTAAGACATTTCGCCCGCCAATGGGATTTTCAATTTAATTCACATGTTGCAAATGTACTCGTAATCTTATCAGTATTGTATACTGTTATCACCTGTAGATAAGTTAGGCTAAGATAGGACCACTAATTTACTCCCAGAGGCGAACACTGAGAGTTAGGGAGAGAAGTGGTAGTGAGAAGTTAGTGTGTGAGCTGAATCGAGGTAATAGTAGTAATAGTAGCAGTAGTAACTGTACGTAGGAGGAGTCCACGTGTGTATCTGCTAGGGAGGTACTACCCTCGTGTGTGTGTGAAACACGTACACGCCAGGTAGTGAGCTGGTAGACGACAACCATCCAGGGAGGTACTACCATCCAGGGAGGTACTACCATCCAGGGAGGTACTACCATCCAGGGAGGTACTACCATCCAGGGAGGTACTACCATCCAGGGAGGTACTACCATCCAGGGAGGTACTACCATCCAGGGAGGTACTACCATCCAGGGAGGTACTACCATCCAGGGAGGTACTACCATCCAGGGAGGTACTACCATCCAGGGTAGGTACTACCATCCAGGGAGGTACTACCATCCAGGGAGGTACTACCATCCAGGGAGGTACTACCATCCAGGGAGGTACTACCATCCAGGGAGGTACTACCATCCAGGGAGGTACTACCATCCAGGGAGGTACTACCATCCTGAAATGGAAGTCTAATTTCACTGGCAGTATCGCTGATCCTTTGTTTCACCAACACGCCAGATGACAGATAAATCTTACTGTCTCACCAACACGTAAGGTGACAGGTAAATCTTACTGTCTCACCAACACGTAAGGTGACAGGTAAATCTTACTGTCTGATCAACATGTAAGATGACAGGTAAATCTTACTGTCTGATCAACATGTAAGATGACAGGTAAATCTTACTGTCTGATCAACATGTAAGATGACAGGTAAATCTTACCGTCTGATCAACATGTAAGATGACAGGTAAATCTTACTGTCTGATCAACATGTAAGATGACAGGTAAATCTTACTGTCTGATCAACATGTAAGATGACAGGTAAATCTTACTGTCTGATCAACATGTAAGATGACAGGTAAATCTTACTGTCTGATCAACATGTAAGATGACAGGTAAATCTTACTGTCTGATCAACATGTAAGATGACAGGTAAATCTTACCGTCTGATCAACATGTAAGATGACAGGTAAATCTTACTGTCTGATCAACATGTATGATGACAGGTAAATCTTACGGGTCTGATTCAACATGTAAGATGACAGGTAAATCTTACTGTCTGATCAACTGTAAGGTGACAGGTAAATCTTACTGTCTGATCAACATGTAAGGTGACAGGTAAATCTTACTGTCTGATCAACATGTAAGGTGACAGGTAAATCTTACTGTCTGATCAACATGTAAGATGACAGGTAAATCTTACTGTCTGATCAACATGTAAGGTGACAGGTAAATCTTACTGTCTCACCAACACGTAAGGTGACAGGTAAATCTTACTGTCTCACCAACACGTAAGGTGACAGGTAAATCTTACTGTCTCACCAACACGTAAGGTGACAGGTAAATCTTACTGTCTCACCAACACGTAAGATGACAGGTAAATCTTACTGTCTCACCAACACGTAAGATGACAGGTAAATCTTACTGTCTCACCAACACGTAAGATGACAGGTAAACGTTACAAGCTTCTGCTTACATTGTATGCTCAAACCTTCACTTTCCAGGATGTTTCTTAATTAATAGTACGGTAATATTTAACCAGTCATACACAAAGACAACCCGAACATAGGAAAGAGGAGCTTACGACGGCGTTTCCCTCTGAGTTGGACCATTTACAAGTCAGACTTGCACACGAAGGTGAGGGAGCCAGTATAGAAGAGGAGGGACGGGACAGAGAGGGGAAGAAGGAAGTGGAGAAGTAGTGGTGGAGGTAACGCTGGTAGTAGTGGTGGAGATAATGCTGGTAGTAGTGGTGGAGGTAATGCTGGTAGTAGTGGTGGAGATAATGCTGGTAGTAGTGGTGGAGATAATGCTGATAGTAGTGGTGGAGGTAATGCTGGTAGTAGTGGTGGAGATAATGCTGGTAGTAGTGGTAGAGGTAATGCTGGTAGTAGTGGTAGGAGTGGAAAGTAAGTGATATTATACATTAATATCCTGCAGAAGGATACTGAATATTATGCACCTGTTAATTATGTGAAGTTAATGAGAGGGATACTCGTATTGGACACGGGGATACTACAGGAATAGTTCTCCTTAAGGGAATTTCATGATGTAGGGTCAAATCTGATTATCTTCCATTTCGCCAGGCGCTATATGATCCTTACTGGTTTAGAGGAACAGAGCCAGTAGCTCGCCAGTTACAGTACAAGGATGACCATGAGGGGATATTATCATGACGTATAAAATACTCGGTGGACTAAATTAAGGGGATAGAGAGAAAAATAGGAGGATAGGGAAACTTAGAAGACAGATGACTGGTAAATACACAGCTGAATCATAGGGACAATAGTCAGTACTTTATCAGTCTTAGCGTAATGGATAAGATGAAAGAAAACGCTATACACAGCTTCAAGAGTATGTAAGACCGGAGGTACACACACACACACACACACACACACACACACACACACACGCACACACAAACTACCATACTCTTGTAGAGAAACGTTAACAGAAATACTGTCATACTTACCTGCGAGTGTAGAAGAGTGACAGCTAGGGTGTCCCTGTCCAGGACGCTGTCCACTCTGTCTCTTCTCCTGGCTGTCCTCACTCACACTATACACAACACTGTCTCTGGGGGGGGGGAGGCCTGTCCACCGCTACACCCACCTGTTACGTGTCTATAATTAACAAGTACAGGTGTTATACACGATGTCACGTATCAGACATGTCTGTGAGTGATGGATACCAATGATGGGTGTGGAGTCTGCTCACCAAGCCTCACAATCTGTCTGCGACACCCACCTTTACCACCATCACACACCCGCGTTGTTTTTTGTCCTCCCTCAGCCAATCACAGCTCGCCGGTCGGAAAGTAAGCAGCGGCGGTGGATCTCCCCTCCACCAATAAGCACTCCCATTGCCACTGACGTCACCATGCTCCGCCCCGCGGAAATGGCACCTAGTGGTGTGATTGGCTGGCTGTCTGGCCGCTTTGCCAATCAGGATGCAGGCGCCTGCGGGCAGGCAGTGCCTGTGATATGACAGATGACACAGAATATGCAGACTTCCAACATTTACTGCCGTAATATTATCCCACGATGAGACTCGCTTTCGATTCTGTAATTGCGTTAGAGACGTCATATCCGCGAATATTTGACGGGTTTGGAGCAGAGAGCGACAGGACGTGGGAGAACAGGGAGCATTTTGCACCAAAAGAAATTTTTAACGGCACTGCTGGCACCAGCAAAATGTTAAGATTCCATAATTTGGTAGATTGAGTGTGGTTTGTTGAGCGCTTCCGACCACCCATTTGGGGTTACTATTGTAACCCCAATTTATTTCAGGTCACGAGATGTTTTCACAGATATCACATAGACTCTTTTATTGGCACTTCTTTGAGAACTGGAAAACAGAGAAGGGGACCAAATGGCCGCTGCTTTGAGGCAGTGATAATTCCATTAGTTATGATGGGTACTCTTGCGTGAACCGTGCGGATTTAGTGCTTGTTGAGCACTTGACCCAGCGGGATTAAATCTGGTTATGGCGTGGGTGTGCGGGCGCCTCCACACGCCATAATAAGTTATGCCATAAAGTTGGTCGTAACCGCTAAGTTTTCTTTAACTTCCTGAGGGACGTCACATATCTGCTGAGGCCCCATCATAGCTGAGGCTGTTTGTGTACCTCTCTTACGCTATCTTACTGCTGTCTGCACTTTGTTGCTGTCTTTAACCTTTGTGTACCTCCCTTATGTTCTCCTTCTGCTGTCTGCTCTTTGGTACTGTCTGTCTGTAACCTTTGTGTACCTCTCTTACGTTCTCCTACTGCTGTCTGCTCTTTGGTACTGTCTGTCACCTTTGTGTACCTCCCTTATGTTCTCCTACTGCTGTCTGCTCTTTGGTACTGTCTGTCTGTCACCTTTGTGTACCTCCCTTATGTTCTCCTTCTGCTGTCTGCTCCTTGGTACTGTCTGTCTGTAACCTTTGTGTACCTCTCTTACGTTCTCTTACTGCTGTCTGCTCTGTGGTACTGTCTGTCTATAACCTTTGTGTACCTCTCTTACGTTCTCTTACTGCTGTCTGCTCTTTGGTACTGTCTGTCTTTAACCTTTGTGTACCTCTCTTACGTTCTCTTACTGCTGTCTGCTCTTTGGTACTGTCTGTCTATAACCTTTGTGTACCTCTCTTACGTTCTCTTACCGCTGTCTGCTCTGTGGTACTGTCTGTCTGTAACCTTTGTGTACCTCTCTTACGTTTTCTTACTGCTGTCTGCTCTTTGGTACTGTCTGTCTTTAACCTTTGTGTACCTCTCTTACGTTCTCTTACTGCTGTCAGCTCTTTGGTACTGTCTGTCTTTAACCTTTGTGTACCTCTCTTACGTTCTCTTACTGCTGTCAGCTCTTTGGTACTGTCTGTCTTTAACCTTTGTGTACCTCTCTTACCTTCTCTTACTACTGTCTGCTCTGTGGTACTGCCTGTCTGAAACCTTTGTGTACCTCTCTTACGTTCTCTTACTGCTGTCTGCTCTTTGGTACTGTCTGTCTGTAACCTTTGTGTACCTCTCTTACGTTCTTCTACTGCTGTCTGCTCTGTGGTACTGTCTGTTTGTAACCTCTGTGTACCTCTCTTACGTTCTTCTACTGCTGTCTGCTCTTTGGTACACTCTGCAGCTTTTATCTGCTGTGTTGCCTGCGGTTTATTGCTTCTTTTGCATCCTCATTCTCTATCTGCTGTTTGTTATCTCCTGAATATTAGCTAGCTAAGTCTCTGTTATATTCCGTCACTCACGATGAGTCGCATATATAATGTTGAGATGTGTCAGCCCCAGCTGGGAGACTTTAGTAGTGTGATGATATTGTCAAACATTCCACTATGGTTCAGTAACTACCACAACATCAACCTTCCAGCAGTGCTACAGTAATGATGATATTGTCAAACATTCCACTATGGTTCAGTAACTACCACAACTTCAACCTTCCAGCAGTGCTACAGTAATGATGATATTGTCAAACATTCCACTATGGTTCAGTAACTACCACAACATCAACCTTCCAGCAGTGCTACAGTAATGATGATATTGTCAAACTTCCACTATGGTTCAGTAACTACCACAACTTCAACCTTCCAGCAGTGCTACAGTAATGATGACATTGTCAAACATTCCACTATGGTTCAGTAACTACCACAACATCAACCTTCCAGCAGTGCTACAGTAATGATGATATTGTCAAACATTCCACTATGGTTCAGTAACTACCACAACTCCAACCTTCCAGCAGTGCTACAGTAATGATGACATTGTCAAACATTCCACTATGGTTCAGTAACTACCACAACATCAACCTTCCAGCAGTGCTACAGTAATGATGATATTGTCAAACATTCCACTATGGTTCAGTAACTACCAAACTCCAACCTTCCAGCAGTGCTACAGTAATGATGACATTGTCAAACATTCCACTATGGTTCAGTAACTACCACAACATCAACCTTCCAGCAGTGCTACAGTAATGATGATATTGTCAAACATTCCACTGTGGTTCAGTAACTACCACAACTTCAACCTTCCAGCAGTGCTACAGTAATGATGATATTGTCAAACATTCCACTATGGTTCAGTAACTACCACAACTTCAACCTTCCAGCAGTGCTACAGTAATGATGATATTGTCAAACATTCCACTATGGTTCAGTAACTACCACAACATCAACCTTCCAGCAGTGCTACAGTAATGATGATATTGTCAAACATTCCACTATGGTTCAGTAACTACCACAACATCAACCTTCCAGCAGTGCTACAGTAATGATGATATTGTCAAACATTCCACTATGGTTCAGTAACTACCACAACATCAACCTCCAGCAGTGCTACAGTATGATGATACTGTCAAACATTCCACTATGGTTCAGTAACTACCACAACATCAACCTTCCAGCAGTGCTACAGTAATGATGATATTGTCAAACATTCCACTATGGTTCAGTAACTACCACAACTTCAACCTTCCAGCAGTGCTACAGTAATGATGATACTGTCAAACATTCCACTATGGTTCAGTAACTACCACAACATCAACCTTCCAGTAGTGCTACAGTAATGATGATATTGTCAAACATTCCACTATGGTTCAGTAACTACCACAACATCAACCTTCCAGCAGTGCTACAGTAATGATGATATTGTCAAACATTCCACTATGGTTCAGTAACTACCACAACTTCAGGAGTTTACTCTCCAGCAGAGCTGGTGTTATATTTCTCGGAAATTAACATCTCTAAGAATGGCGTACCCCATACACATAAAATATAGAATATGTACGAAAATAGTTGCACCATTCCACAGCAGGGCAACAGAAATTTCATGTGAAAGAAACCGAGAGAGAGAGAGAGAGGGAGAGAGAAGGGAGGACGCGGAGAGAAATTTGAATAGCGTCACATTTAACTAGGTACATATATAGAATGTATAATACCCATGATATACATATAATAGTTAAGTACATATAACACTTCATCATCCTGGCCACAACCAACATAAACATCACAGAATCTCTAATAAACAACAACTGCCATTAAACGCAGGCTGAACCATGGTAACTCAGGCAGGATACATTTATATATAAATACATCACAGCCCCCCCACACACAAAGGGCCAGGAGCTATGAATCAACCACTGCATCCACAAATAGACGAATATAGGTGAGTATACACACACACACACACTCACACACATATATATATACACACACTATATATATTTACGCTTATAGGTCCTTTTACATCTGGTAACTTATAGATAAGGCCCTTTGCTTAGTCTATATAAATCTCGGGACTTTAACCGCCACATTTCATTAACCAGGTTGTTTTAATGTTGCTTAATAATAATAATAATAATAATCTTTATTTACTACAAGTACATGTACATGGTATACAGTCCTAGCTGACAACAATGACATACTACTACATAGAAAGCCACTTGTTATGCTGAGCATCTCGGGCAAATTAGGTCAGAGTCCCAGGATGCGACCCACACCAGTCCACTAACACCCAGGTACCCATTTTACTGATGGGGAACATAGACAACAGGTGGAAAGAAACACGTCCAATGTTTCTACTCTGGCTGGGAATCGAACCCAGGCCCTCGCCGTGTGAAGCGAGAGCGTTAACCACCAGGCCACCAGAGCCCCACCTTGTTCTCAACTTAGACGAGGCTATTGTACGTTGGTGTGATAGTTGTAGATTAAAGCATAAATGTTGCTGTAAGTTTTATGGGAAGAACGTTTCGCTCAGTGTAGAACTTTATCATGACTCGGTAAACCTTTATATACAGCAAAACATAATCTGTTAAAGATCTTCACAGCGATACTTTATAAAGCTCCATTTATTTATTAACTCTGTTAGTAAAGTCATTAAGATCTGTAGCCGTCCACCTGGAGGTTGTTTCAGGGGTCAGCGCCCCCCGCGGCCCGCTCCGTGAAATACCCATTACCAACTTCACGGAAAAACGGTATGTTGCGTTACACTGTGGCAAATTAGCAACCAAATTCAGAAATGGTGTTTGTGTGTATGTGTGTACTGACATAACCTCGTAAGACACTGTGTCTAACTATTTTAAAATGTCCTGAGGACTACGCTTGTGATCCATGGTGCTCTCCCTTCACCAAAAACTGGAAGATTCACTACAAATAACCCAGAGCAAAATGGCAAGATTCATCCTGGACCTGAGTCCAAGAGAGTATGTAGGCCTGGGTCCAAGAGAGTATGTAGGCCTGGGT